TTATTATAAACAGAGCATTTACTTAAATACTTGTATCTATAAAAAAAGAACGTTAAACATAAAAATGTCTTTAATAAATAAATTGTCGGACTTTGTCCATTTCTTAATATATATATATATATATATATATATATATTCACTAGTGTTGAGTGATGCAGAAAATCTCCGATTGCTCTCGGAATATATATTCACTAGTGTTGAGTGATGCAGAAAATCTCACATTGCTCTCGGAATTTGCCACCAATCATTTGTTAACAGTGGTAAAATTAATCTGTAAAGTGTATTGTCATAATCTATCTGTTGTGGCGTCCTCCTTCTAATTATAGTGGACTCTTCCAATTACTATAAAGTTACTATGAGAAGTAGGCCTCAGGGGGAAACAGTGATAGAACTGTTCTACTGAGGCTGTTCACAGCTCCAGTCAAACTCTCTGCTTTTATCAGAGAGGAACCCGGACGAGGCTGTGCCGAAGGGCAGCGTTTCGTCCGGGGAGGTAGACAGACTCGAAACCGTTTATGCGGGTTCTAAGTAGATTTTTAGGGCCGAGCCTACGGGCTCGGAAGACCCGCGTTAAATTCGGCCTTGTTCCACATGTACCTTTGTGGTTTAATAAATATTGGAACAGTGATAGAACTGTTTTACTGAGGCTGTTCGCAGCTCCAGTAGAACTCTCTGCTTTTGGCGGAGAGGAACCCGGACGAGGCTGTGCCGAAGAGTAAAGTTTCGTCCGTGGAGGTAGACAGACCCGGACCTGTTCATTCGGTTTCCACGGGGATTTTTTGGCCTTGTGCCACATCTACCCTCGAGGTGGTGGGGGTTACTTAATATCGGAACAGTGATAGGCTGAACGCTGCTCGACCGATACACACTCCCAAGTCATGTAACACTCTTCTGTTGTATTTAGTGTTCAATACACTATTTATCTGCAATGTCTTGTTTTGTTATTCTTCACTGTTTACTTGGTCACAGCACTATATCGGGATGAGAGTATCTATCTATCTATCTATCTATCTATCTATCTATCATGCGCTATTAGTATCTATCTATGTATCTATCCCTTTAATTTTATTCATATCTATCTATCTATCTATCATGCGCTATTAGTATCTATCTATCTATCTATCTATCTATCTATCTATCTATCTATCCCTTTAATTTTATTCATATCTGTCAATATATCATGCGCTATTAGTATCTATCTATCTATCTATCTATCTACCTACCTATCTATCATACGCTATTAGTATCTATCTGTCATGCGCTATTAGTATCTATCTATCTATCTATCTATCTATCTATCTATCTAACCCTTTAATTTTATTCATATCTGTCTATATATCATGCGCTATTAGTATCTATCTATCTATCTATCTATCCCTTTAATTTTATTCATATCTATCTATCTATCTATCTATCTATCTATCTATCTATCTATCTATCTATCATGCGCTATTATATCTATCTATCTATCCCTTTAAATTTATTCATATCTATCTATCTATCTATCTATCTATCTATCATGCGCTATTAGTATCTATCCATCTATCTGTTCGAGTGATTGTGTAGATCACAATATTTTGATAAGATAAACGCGAGTATGCTATCAGATCAATCAAATAACAGATTTATATAAGCCAATGTCATTTTTATATGGCATTAGATGGCATATCATCTGTGAATTGTCTTCTATAATTAAATATTCAATATTATAGACAAAAATATTACGCGTAAATTATTAATCTGTCTAGACACATTAATTCTACTTAAATCAGTGTTTTTAATATTTTTCTTCAACTTTGCAATTTTGAACTTGAGGTCGCTTGACAAAACGATTCTTGCACCCATTAACAAAATGACCGCTTTTGCCCAAAACTAGCTGGAAGATTTTTTTTCCTTCATTAAGTGTTAAAAGAATCGTTTGCGAAGATATCTAGAATATCTTCAAAGAGTATAAATATGACAGATATAATTTAAATATAACAGAGTTCAAGTCTATCGTGAAATCTTTCAGTTCGTATCATTCAAAAAAGTCAAAACCGTGGAAAAAGTCACAAAAGTCAGGGACTTGGGTATGTTACTGTTTTACTGTAGGAGTAATAACTCACTTTGAATGAAAATCTATCTGGCTTCTCTCTGGAAAAGTCTCTATCTCTGATTATCATTATATATCTATCTATTTAATCGAAGGATATCTATTATATATATATATATCTATAACTAATTTTCTTTGTCTATTGTTCTATATATCTATTTATCTTTCAATCTATTTCTAATCTATTATTATCTATCTATCTATCTATCTATCTGTCTATAAATTGTCATTCTCTATCTATTTTCTATCTATAATTATCTCTGATCTATCTAATAGTCACTGATTGTCGTTATCTCTCTCTATATATATATATATATATATATATATATAATATAATATCATTATATATATATATATATTTTTATTATATAAATGATTCAGATTGGGGATCTGTCTTAGATCTCTCTATATATATATCCATCTAATTTTTATCTATCCTCTATCTATCTATCTATCTAATTTCACTTTTTATGTTATCTTGCACAACCGCCGGAGATTTCGATTTGTTTTTATATCGCTATAATGAAATTTTAACCAGATCAATCTATAATTAGTAATAGAGAAATGAGAAAAAGTCTCAGACAATTGTATATTATTGATATTGTTAAAGTTTTGAAGATATATCTATCAAGAAACCTCTGAGAAGTGGGAACATTTTTTTATGGCATTAGAATGCATGGAATAATAATGCAACACAAAATTATTCAAAATGTATGAAACAGGAAAGTATTACACAATATCTATCTAATGCGTTGACTAAGTAGTCAGGCAGAATTAAATATATATATTTATATATATTATATCTCAGATTGATGAGTATTGTTGAATCTATCTACGCGTAAATTATTGCACTTAGAACAAAATGACACATTAATAGTCTTTTGTATATTCCTGAGTAAGATCTATCTATCATCTGACAATAAGTCTCTCTCTGTTTTTCTCTTTCTATTTTTATTATACAAAATGGATTGCAATTTTCTGAATTTATCTATTTACTTGAGGGTCGCTTGACAAAAATAATAATGCAACACAAAATGCACTTAGAACAAAATGTATTGAATCTCTCTCCCATTAACAAAATGTGTTGACTTTTGCCAAAGAAACTGAATTTTTCCTCCTTATTTTTTTTCCTAACATTTGTCAATTTTCTTTCCCTTAGAATTTCTTTCTGGGTTGATGAAATTGAATTTGTAAATTTTGAGAAGATCCTGGTCTGGAGAATTATCTATCTATGGTTATTATTTCCCTCTAAACCAACCATATTTGCCCAAATTAGGTGGATCCTACCACAACAGAACCTCCCAAGCCTTGGAATTTTGGCTTCCTATATGGATGATTATTGTTGAAAAATAATCAGAACAAAATGTATTGAAACAAGAAAGTCATAATATTTACATGTAGTCTTTTGTATACATATTTTAAGACCGTTTGGAGAATGTGTTAAGTCGCAATCGGGCAGAGTCTCTGGTTGAACAGTACCAGTTCAAGTCTATCGTAAATCCCTTTTGAATATCAAACTGGCTTCTTTATATGGGTTGATGATTATTGGAAACTTGATTGATGCATGGAATAATTTAAACACAAAATGCACTTAGAACAAAATGTATTGAAACAAGAAAGTGTACACAATATTTACATGTAGTCTTTTTGTATATTCCTGGTAAACTGTTCCTGGAGAATGTGTTGACTGGATGAAGAGTCTGGTTGAATCTCTTGTCCTCCTTCTCTTCCCGGTACCAACCATACAAATATGGTCGGTACTCCACTATGCAAATTAGGTGGATCCTACAACACCCACCTCCCAAGCCTTGGAATCCCTTTTGAATTTCAAACTGGTTTTATAAGGGTTGATGATTATTGTTGAAACTTGACTGATGCATGGAATAATAATGCAACACAAAATGCACTTAGAACAAAATGTATTGAAACAAGAATGGTACACAATAAAGTCATATTCCTGGACCGTTCCTGGAGAAGTTCAGGGACAGAGTCTCTGGTTGAATCTCTTGTTTTCTCTTGTACCAACCATATTTATATTTACTCCACTATGTGGATCCTACCACAACAACCTCCCAAGCCTTGGAATCCCTTTTAATTTTGGCTTCCTATATGGGTTGATGATTATTGTTGAAACTTGACTAATGAATGGAATAATAATGCAACACAAAATTTAGAACAAAATGTATTGAAACAAGAAATGTACACAATATTTACATATAGTCTTTTGTATATTCCTGGTAAGACCGTTCCTGGAGAATGTGTTGACTTAGTCGGGCAGAGTCTCAGGTTGAATCTTTGATTCCTCCTCTCTTCCCGGTCAACCATATTTATATGGTCGGTACTCCACTATTGTGGATCCTACCACAACACCCACCTCCCAAGCATTGGAATCCTTTTTGAATTTTGGCTTTTATATGGGTTGATGATTATTGTTGAAATTGACTGATCATGGAATAATAATGCAACACAAAATCTTTAGAACAAAATGTATTGAAACAAGAAAGTGTACACAAAATTTACATGTATATATTATAAGATATATATATATATCAGGAAGAGTCTCTGGTTGAATCTCTTGTTTCCTCCTTCTCTTCCGGTACCAACCATATTTATATGGTCGGTCTATTTATGCAAATTAGGTGGATCCTACCACAACACCCACCTCCCAAGCCTTGGAATCCCTTTTGAATTTCAAACTGGCTTCTTATATGGGTTGATGATTATTGTTGAAACTTGACTGATGCATGGAATAATAATGCAACACAAAATGCACTTAGAACAAAATGTATTGAAACAAGAAAGTGTACACAATATTTACATGTAGTCTTTTGTATATTCCTGGTAAGACCGTTCCTGGAGAATGTGTTGACTGAGTCGCAGTCGGGAAGAGTCTCTGGTTGAATCTCTTGATTCCTCCCTCTCTTCCCGGTACCAACCATATTTATATGGTCGGTAACTATGCAAATTAGGTGGATTACCACAACACCAACCTCCCAAGCCTTGGAATCCTTTTATTTCAAACTGGCTTCTATATGGGTTGATGATTATCTCAGCATGGTGCAACACAAAATGCACTTAGAACAAAAATGTATGAAACAAGAAAGTGTACACAATATTTACATGTAGTCTTTTGTATATTCCTGGTAAGACCGTTCCTGGAGAATGTGTTGACTGAGTCGCAGTCGGGAAGAGTCTCTGGTTGAATCTCTTGATTCTCCTCTCTTCCCGGTACCAACCATATTTATATGGTCGGTATATATGCAAATATATACCTCCCAATGGAATCCCTTTTGAATTTCAAACTGGCTTCTTATATGGGTTGATGATTATTGTTGAAACTTGACTGATGCATGGAATAATAATGCAACACAAAATGCACTTAGAACAAAATGTATTGAAACAAGAAAGTGTACAATATTTACATGTAGTCTTTTGTATATTCCTGGTAAGACCGTTCCTGGAGAATGTGTTGACCGTTCCGGGAGAATGTGGTTGATCTCTTGATTCCTCCTTCTCTTCCCGGTTGCATATTTATATGGTCGGTACTCCACTATGCAAATTAGGTGGATCTACCACAACACCCACCTCCCAAGCCTTGGAATCCTTTGAATATCAAACTGGCTTCTTATATGGGTTGATGATTATTGTTTCAAGAAAAGTGTACAACCAATATTTACATGTAGTCTTTATATATTCCTGGTAAGACCGTTCAGAGTCTCTGGTTGAATCTCTTGTTTCCTTCTCTTCCCGGTACCAACCATATATATGGTCGGTCTCACTATCAAATTAGGTGGATCCTACCACAACACCCACCTCCCAAGCCTTGGAATCCCTTTGAATTTCAAACTGGCTTCTTATAAGAGTTGATGATTATTGTTGAAACTTGACTGATGCATGGAATAATAATGCAACACAAAATCTTAGAACAAAATGTATTGAAACAAGAAAGTGTACACAATATTTACATGTAGTCTTTTGTATATTCCTGGTAAGACCGTTCCTGGAGAATGTGTTGACTGAGTCGCAGTCGGGCAGAGTCTCTGGTTGAATCTCTTGTTTCCTCCTTCTCTTCCCGGTACCAACCATATTTATATGGTCGGTACTCCACTATGCAAATTAGGTGGATCCTACCACAACACCCACCTCCCAAGCCTTGGAATCCCTTTTGAATTTCAAACTGGCTTCTTATATGGGTTGATGATTATTGTTGAAACTTGACTGATGCATGGAATAATAATGCAACACAAAATGCACTTAGAACAAAATGTATTGAAACAAGAAAGTGTACACAATATTTACATGTAGTCTTTTGTATATTCCTGGTAAGACCGTTCCTGGAGAATGTGTTGACTGACAGTGGGGAAGATTTTTGAATCCTTGATTTCCTTCTTCTTCCCGGTACCAACCATATTTATATGGTCGGTACTCCCAATGCAAATTAGGTGGATCCTACCACAACACCCACCTCCCAAGCCTTGGAATCCTTTTGAATTTCAAACTGGCTTCTTATATGGGTTGATGATTATTGTTGAAACTTGACTGATGCATGGAATAATAATGCAACACAAAATGCACTTAGAACAAAATAATTTACACAATATTTACATGTAGTCTTTTGTATATTCCTCGTAAGACCGTTCCTGGAGAATGTGTTGACTGAGTCGCAGTCGGGCAGACTCTCTGGTTGAATCTCTTGTTTCCTCCCTCTCTCCCGGTACCAACCGGTACTCCACTATTCCACCTTCCAAGCCTTGAATCCTTTTATCCAAACTGGCTTCTTATATGGGTTGATGATTATTGTTGAAACTTGACTGATGCATGGAATAATAATGCAACACAAAATGCACTTAGAACAAAAATGTATTGAAACAAGAAAGTGTAATTTTAAGTGTTCCTGGAGAATGTGTTGACTGAGTCGCAGTCGGGCAGATTCCCTCTCTTCCCGGTAAATTTAAGTGGGTTGAATCCCTTTTTGAATTTCAAACTGCTTCTTATATGGGTTGATGATTATTGTTGAAACTTGACTGATGCATGGAATAATAATGCAACACAAAATGCACTTAGAACAAAAATTGAAACAAGAAAGTGTACACAATATTTACATGTAGTCTTTTTGTATATTCCTGGTAAGACCGTTCCTGGAGAATGTGTTGACTGAACGGGAAGAGTCTCTGGTTGAAGCTCTTGATTCCTCCTTCTTCTTCCCGGTACCAACCATATTTATATGGTCGGTACTTATGCAAATTAGGTGGATCCTACCACAACACCCAAATCCCAAGCCTTGGAATCCCTTTTGAATTTCAAACTGGCTTCTTATATGGGTTGATTATTATTGTTAAAACTTGACTGATGCATGGAATAATAATGCAACACAAAATCCTCTTAGGACAAAAATGTATTGAAACAAGAAAGTGTACACAATATTTACAAGTCTTTTTGTATATTCCTGGTAAGACCGTTCCTGGAGAATGTGTTGACTGAGTCGCAGTCGGGCAGAGTCTCTGTTGAATCTCTTGTTTCCTCCTTCTTCCCGGTACCAAATATTTATACAAATTAGGTGGATCCTACCACAACACCCACCTAGAATCCCTTTTGAATATCAAACTGGCTTCTTATTGGGTTGATGATTATTGTTGAAACTTGACTGATGCATGGAATAATAATGCAACACAAAATGCACTTAGAACAAAATGTATTGAAACAAGAAAGTGTACACAATATTTACATGTAGTCTTTTGTATATTCCTGGTAAGACCGTTCCTGGAGAATGTGTTGACTGAGTCGCAGTCGGGCAGACTCTCTGGTTGAATCTCTTGTTTCCTCCTTCTCTTCCCGGTACCAACCATATTTATATGGTCGGTACTCCACTATGCAAATTAGGTGGATCCTACCACAACACCCACCTCCCAAGCCTTGGAATCCCTTTTGAATTTCAAACTGGCTTCTTATATGGGTTGATGATTATTGTTGAAACTTGACTGATGCATGGAATAATAATGCAACTTAGAACAAAAATTGAAACAAGACTTGAACAAAAATGTGTCTTTTGTAAACTGGTAAGACCGTTCCTGGAAATGTGTACTGACAATCGGGCAGACTCTCTTTGAACTTGTTTCCTCCTTCTTCTTCCCGGTCAACCATATTTATTGGTCGGTATTCCAAATTAGGTGGATCCTACCACAACACCCACCTTCCAAGAATCCTTTTGAACAAACTGGTTCTTATATGGGAGAATGAAACTTGACTGATTGG